AGACCCAACACTCTGGATGAGCTTAAGGCCGCTATCGAAGCATCCTGGGCCTCCATAACACCTCAGCAGTGCTACAGGCTGATTGCCTCCATGCCACGCCGCATTGAAGCAGCCATTCATGCAAAAGGATTCCCAACCAAGTATTGAGTGCATAACTGAACATGATTATTTGAAGGTTGGCGCTTTTTGTATTAAAAAACACTTGTCTTTCATTGGTGGGATGAAATATGCTAATTTTTTGGAACAGGCATTTTGGATTTTTATGAGCTGTATGCCATAATCATCAGTATATAAGTACAGTCCATTTACCATTCCATTTACACTGTGTGTATTGAACCGTTTCGGTACAGCATGTTCGGTTCGGTCCACATGCGTACTGTTTTGTTATTTTTTCACTCATCAAATTTTATTAACGAGAGATTATGCGTCACGGAACTAAAGTTTCTACGCATGTTTCAGCACGGCGCCATTATCTTGCAGCACGCGTAGCATTAGCAGCCTAGCAGATGACGATCAAGCCATCTCGTTGTGGTCTCCTGTTTGGGAACATTATGGCTTTCTTGTTAAAAGACAAGTGAACAAATCCAAAACTGTGTCGACGTAGTTTCACGGAGATTAGATCTTCAGCAGGCAACCCGTCTAACTTGTTAACGTACTTGAAACGACACCATCCGAATGTGAACGTAGTTTGGTGCCAAGACCGATAACATTTAAGCAACTTTTATCAGGTAATTCAGATCGGTCCAAAGCAATAACACATGCTGTAGGAGTTTTTAAAGCTCTGGATCTACGTCCGTATTCTGATGTTTATACGCCGACTTTAAGCATAAAATTCTTGAGCCCTGCTGCCCACAACATCCATCACGTCAACAGTTCAGCCAAAAAGTTGTAGCAGCACTTTATGAAAAATCTAAAATTGATATTGTCAACAAGCCCGACTCCAGATTCAAAGCCCTGCCACATGATGATGATGATGATGAGCGAGAGATTCAACCACCTCATACGATGACCGTGCAAGAAGAGGTATTGTATTATTATTATCCAATTAACTTTTTAAATTTAAAATTATAATCTTATTAATTCAATGTTGTTATCTCTGTGTTGTTTGCAGTCTGAAGATGATAGCAGCGGAGTCTTTTTCATCCACCAGATCACCTCCAGCTAAGAAGTCTGTAATGACTGAACTTGTTTAATTGGCATATTTTAAAAATAAACATTTGTAAGTCTTCATTTTGGCCTTTTTTGTACCTTAGATTAACCGAACTGAGCCCTCCTTGAAACTGAACTGAACCAAAATGTGATTTTAGCGTACCATTATACCCCTAGCTTCAACCAAGTCTGTTACCACTCACCCAGAACACACACTTTTTGCCCCACTCCCCTCAGGAAG